TACCTCTCTGGCTCTCTATCTCTGAGTGGGTCTCTCTTGGGACTTGGGATCTCTCTCTCTGGATCTTTCTATCTCTGGTGGTTTATCGCCACCAGAGATAGACCCAGAGACCATCTCTCTGGGTCTTTCTCTGGGTCTCTGTTTCTTTATCTGTCTCTAAGTCTCTCTACCTCTCTGGCTCTCTATCTCTGAGTGGGTCTCTCTTGGGACTCGGGATCTCTCTCTCTGGCTCTATCTCTGGTGGTCTATCTCTACCAGAGATAGACCCACCTCTGGGTCTATCTCTGGGTCTCTGTCTCTCTCTACGTCTCTACCTCTTTGGCTATCTGAGTGGGTTTCTGGGTCTCTCTTGGGTCTCGGATCTCTATCTCTCTTCTATCTTTGGTGGTCTATCGCTACCAGAGATAGACCCAGAGACCCATCTCTCTGGGTCTATCTCTGGATCTCTGTCTCTTTGTCTCTCTATGTCTGTCTCTACCTCTGAGTATCTCTGAGTGGGTCTCAGGATCTCTATCTCTCTCTATGTCTCTCTGTCTCTACCTCTCTGGCTATCTGTGAGTGGGTCTCTGGGTCTCGGGATCTCTATCTCTCTGGATCTTTCTATCTCTGGGTCTATGTCTGGTTCTCTGTCTCTTTATCTGTCTCTTTATGTCTCTGTGTCTCTACCTCTCTGGCTCTATCTCAGTGGGTTTCTGGGTCTCTCTTGGGTCTCAGATGTCTATCTCTCTGGATCTTTCTATCTCTGGTGGTCTATCGCTACCAGAGATAGACCCAGAGACCCATCTCAGATAGTCAGAGAGGTAGAGACAGAGATCCAGAGATAGACCCAGAGAGATGGGTCTCTGGGTCTATCTCTGGATCTCTGTCTCTACCTCTCTAGCTATCTGTGAGTGGGTCTCGGGATCTCTATCTCTCTGGATCTTTCTATCTCTGGCGGTCTATCTCTACCAGAGATACACCCAGAGACCCGTCTCTCTGGGTCTCTCTATCTGTCTTTCTCTACGTCTCTTTGTCTGCGCTCTATCTCTATCAGAGATAGACCCAGAGACCCATCTCTCTGTCTCTTTATCTGTCTCTAAGTCTCTCTGTCTCTAGCTCTCTGGCTCTCTATCTCTGAGTGGGTCTCTATCTCTGAGTGGGTCTCTCTTGGGTGGGTCTCTCTTGGTCTCGGGATCTTTCTATCTCTGGCGGTCTATCTCTGGGTCTCTGTCTCTGTCTCTCTCTAAGTCTCTGTGGCACTCTATCTCTGAGTGGGTCTCTCTTGGGTCT